CACGAGATCTTTATGTGTACTACTTATGTTACTCTGCTTACTGTTTACTTCTCCATTTCACTAAGACTTACCCAAAGAATTCAACATATTCTCTCTCTCTTCTGATCGTTTAATTACTGCAGTTTTTTGTTTGTTTGTTTTTTAGATATTCGCTCCAAGCTACTCAAAAGCTATCTGCGCGAGCCGTCCTTAACTTCCAGATGATAGATTAGAAGGAAGACAACTAGTCAACAGAACCCACCGTCAACACTTATCAGACAAAATAGTGGGTTATGATCGTCACTCTTATAACGCACCAACGGCTCCAAAGTGCGGAGCGTGATTATATTTTATTTTTGCGGTAACGGGACGCGAACCATGGAACCTTAGCTCCACGGTCCAGTACGCCAATTACAAAGCTGCGCTTAACTCTATAGGCAAAAATAGCGGATGTGGCTTAGTATATTTCTAATACAACTTATACAATAGCATAATGACAACTGTAGAAATAACTTCAACCCCCTCCCTACTTACTTTTTTTGTATCTTACTGACTGACTACCTTGGTAGTAATTTCAATTTGAATCATTTGACTCCAAACTCGTACAGAGTTCAAAGCCAAAGGTAACCGGAGGTGTTCAGAAAAGATATTTCTCTTCACCCCGTTCATGAGTGAGAGTTATCATGGTAACGTATCTTATAAAGTATAAACCCTTATATAGACTGTTGCGCCATCTATGGAATATGTTTTAAACTAAGCATATTTATTTAAACTATCTAAAGATATATCAAAAGTTTATAAAACATTTATCGGATCTTGCTTAAGAAATGGTTTAGATAGAGGAGAGTATACTTGGTTAATTAATGTACTGCGTCTGTACAAGAAGTTTTTCGGGCGCCGTTTTGAACTACTAGTGTCTAGTGAAGATCTGCGCCAACAGCTTCGAACAGCATCCAAAAAATCTTCATAAACAGATGCAGTCTAGTAACAACGCCGTTCAATTAACTTTTGGATACCTAATATAGTTGGAAAAGCCATAACAGATAGGCAAGTTATAATACCTAAAGGTAAAACATTGTAAAATCTTTTTTTTTTCTTTTACTTTGACGGTATTTCAATACAACTATTTAGACTTTCTCGCTTTGTTAACTGGATATTTGTATTTTACTTATAAAAAACACGTTGTTGTTGTTAGAATCAATCTTTACCAAAGAATATTAAAAATTAGGCAACTCCTTGCGCATCCAAGTCAGCTCTTCACCTAGTTAACTATTTGTAACCATAAATAAAAATATACAAAATTCTAAAGTAACCAGCACAATGACAATAAAAATGACAAAATATGGTAAATTCCAAAGTAAACTTCAACAAGAAAGAGGTTTTAAGGTGAAACCAACAAGTAAAATAAATCATCTAGTAATAAAGATGACCCATTATGTGGGTGAATATGTCTGTCTGTGTATTAGCAACCTCGACTATCGTAATTTTTGGTGTGGCAAAAGGAGACTCTCCGACGGTGTACATGGGGTATCTTGTTTTAGGATTTATACCAGAGAAGGGGGATGAAAAAAAAAACAACTGAAAAAGATAACATTTCCTTTTTTTTTTCTTCGAATTTAATGACACAAGCACTCAATCAGTTAAACTATTGCCTTCCACAAAGAAGGACATGAAATTCGCATCTAATGAGGCCACAAAGGGTTTCATAACAAGGTAAAGGAAGGGGACATTACTTAACATTGTCCCTTATACAATTTTTGCTTCCTTGACAGATACCCTCAGTTAATATTAATAAAACAATTATCTATCCATTCAAAGCATAACTGTCATTTCTAATACAAACATAATTCTTAGGATCAACATAAATGTTCTTCATTACAGACCCACATTGGTTTACAATGACTTCACTCTTCTTAATATTCATAAAACTTTAACTGTTATAAATATCTTAGCCTTGCTTTACAACAATATCAGCTTATAGACAACCAAAAACTGTAGAACATTCTCTGCAACAAATATTCTTCCAAAAACAAACATTTACGGCGTATCTGGGTTACGGAATTTCAGTTGCAACATTGTTGATTGTATTTATAATGTCATTGTTCACACCATAATAAATAAAAATATTATAAAGAAAATGAATCAACGTAAAGGTTATCGATTTTTTCTGTTTCAGGCATTGCTTTAAAATAGAAAAAGAATACATATTTTTTAATGTAGTTTTTAATGCTGATTTCAGAAATATAAATTAAAATATGGGGAAATAAAAATATTTTTTTAATTCTGCTTACGAAACAAAGAAAGTACTTTTAGCATTACATATATACTTATGTATTTAAAAGAATTGGAAAACATCAAGACAATACAAAGTATCTAGTGACGATGTAACAAACTCAATGTGAAAATTCAGAAATATCAGCTCGAAGAGATCGCCATTTTCATGCCTACGACGCCAAACAAACTTGTCTGTTTGTTGGTAACTAAGCACAAAGCTACACACAATGGGCTATCTGTGCTCTGCCCACCACGGGTATCGAAACCCGGATTCTAGCGTTGTAAGTCCGCAGCCATATCGCTGTGCCACTGGGGGGCACAAACTTGTTACGTCTGTTAACCACATTCCAAGTACTTTATATTTGCTGCAGATTTCAGAAATATAAATTAAAGTTTGGAGAATTGATTTTTAAAGTGGAAGAAATGGGGAAAATATTCTTTTTAAATGAAAATTATTTTTTATTTAAATAAACATGTAATTATTTACTAATTAGTCTAACTTGATCTAACCTCACATAAACTGACTTAACCTAGCAAAATAACAAAAATGTTAATTCATATTTCTGAAATCAGCATTAAAAACTACATTCAAATATATATATTCTATTCTATTTTAACGCGGTGCATGAAACTGAAAAGATCTAAGGTCATATTAAAATACCGAGAAAACGTTCCTTTCCCCTGTTTAAATTTTTTATGTCTGCATAACAAGAAGGTATAGTTTTCTGAAGCCTACATCTTTATCGTAAATCTTTCATTATTATTAAAATGCATTTTGAATTAACAGACCTTTGTTCTATTTATATGACTTATCTTATTTGTAGGTCAGATTTTCGAACACCCATCTCGTTTAAGTTGAAAACTAATTTAAACTTATTTGTTTTGTTTATGAAAAAGCTACATACGAAGTTACACAATCGTCCCTGATTTTGAACTGTAGATCAGGGAAGGCAACCAGCCAGTAGCACTCACCAATAACTCTTGAATTATTATTTTACCAACGAATAGTGGGATTGTCCTAAATGATAACGCCCACACGGATGAAAGAGAAAAGCATGTTCGGTGGTGGGTTTTGACCCCGCAATCCATAGGTTGCGAATCAAGTACCCTAACCCCCAGACCAATTTTATTTGAATCAAGTGGTTAAACTGCACACATACTTAATAAACACAAACACACACACACATACTTGAATATTCACGTATTTTCTATATAATTATATTTAAATCACTCACTCCAGACCCATTAACCAGCTGGTATACTTGTAATTTAGATATACACAAGACACAATAAAGGTGACGTGGTGGTTTAAAAAACAAGGTAAATGAAACGTCATTTCTACAAAGGGGCCACCGACTAATAATATTCATTATAGTGTAACAGCTTTTCGTCGCAGTCTTTTGATCTGTAGTTAGTATTCCTATCACCAGATGGCAACTCACGATATTAAAAAGCTAGTATAAATCGATTGTTCCTTCATCAGCTGGAGAAACTACGTTATTTCAATTTCAGCTTAACTTAACTGTGTCTCTAACACGTAGTTTATTTGAACAGGTGAAGTATATGTGCAATTACAAAGTAAAATACCCTAGAGGCCCAGCCAACGTGCACTTTGGTTAATTCGATTATATGTTGCTTCTACCCGAATCTTTATTGTAACTATACTAGAAATAGGATAAATTTAGATTCATTACGTATGTAAATGTTTTAAAGATGGAAAGTGTAGAACTTCATATAATATGCAGTTTCTTCACAATTGGTGGTTTTTAATACTACAGTTACCAGCTGTGAGTGTGCCATCTAGTAGCTTGAATGCTAACTATAAGAGAAATTTAGTCGAACAACTAACACGTAAAACCACTCTCCAAACTACACACATACACAGACATTCTCTGCGACAAACAATTTGTTTGACTATTATACTATCATTTGCTCTTATTATTTTCCATACAACTGAGATGTCTTAGATTGATCACACCACCAGTGGCGTTTCTAGGATTTAAAATGGCGGGGAGGGGAGAGATTAACACTTTCATGTTGGTGGACGTTAAAATGTAGAGAACTGAAAAATCTTGAAAGGCCATATCTTATAGGGGGCTGCTAAGGGGCCTAAATTCTCCAATGGGGGTCTGCCGCACCCTCACGCCATCTTGACGGACATGCCCATCTTACATTACTAACAGGAAATGTTAGAGATCATAGTTTATTATGTTACATTACTAAAAGGAAATGTTAGAGATCATAGTTTATTATGTTACATTACTAACAGGAAATGTGAGAGATCATAGTTTATTATGTTACATTACTAACAGGAAATGTGAGAGATCATAGTTTATTATGTTACATTACTAACAGGAAATGTTAGAGATCATAGTTTATTATGTTACATTACTAACAGGAAATGTGAGAGATCATAGTTTATTATGTTACATTGCTAACAGGAAATGTTAGAGATCATAGTTTATTATGTTACATTACTAACAGGAAATGTTAGAGATCATAGTTTATTATCGGTATGATTGTATAGTCCGCATGATTTAGTTTGATATAAGTGGACACACTTCACTCTCCTTACCGATTATTTACATAAATCGTGTTTAGATATAGATATTTATTTATAACTTTTGATTATCTTTCAGAAAAATAACCAGTATATAAATAAATTATGTTTTTACTATTACCAAGATGTTTCATTTCATTTAGAAATCGTGCTAACCTATAAAGTTTGTTATAGCACCGATACTTACTTGAATTTGGAATCTCCAAATTAGCCGTTGAAATGTAGAGGTTAGATGAAAGCTTGAGTCAGTTTTAGACCAGACATCTACTGTTCACCTTCACCTGTTTAGGTAAAAATAATTTCATTTCATTTTTTGATAACGACACATTACGAAATTCTCGACTGCATAAACATTCAACCTAAAAAAAAAAAATGTTGTCTAGCTGAAAAACACAACTGGCCTCATTTGATATTTTCAAAATCAAACCACCCAATCATACAACATTGTGTTAATATATTTCTTAGGTCCATACAATCTTAACAGAAGAGAATCCTCAATAGTTGTTGTACTTGAAATTCCTTTAGGCATGATTAGAGTAAATTAATGTACGAGACTTTTCCCCCCCTTTTTATTGGCTATATTTTTGTGCGCCAGCAATATCAAGCGAGGGGCGTGTGTATACCCGATTCTATTTTATTACTCATCAGGATCTCTAACAGCCTACCTACCCTCAAATTGAAATTCTTTTAGGCAGGATTAGAGTAAATTAATCTATGAAACTTTGGGCGTGGTCAGATATATTAAGCGAAAGGGTTTGACCTCCTGAGTCCAAAACTGTAATCAGATTTCAAATCGATTAAGAGATGACGGAGCTATGAACAAAAAGTTTGTACTTGTAAAAGCCCCCCAGTGGCACAGCGGTAAGCTTGCGGACTTACAACGCTAGAAACTGTGTTTCGATACTCGTGGTGGGAAGAGCACAGATAGCCTTTTGAATAGCTTTGTACTAAACCACAAATGAACAACAATTTTTGTACTTAAAAAAAAAACCAAAAAACTCGGAGCTCCTCTATGAGCCGCGGCTAAAAATCACGAGATTTCGTAAAACAAAATTAAGATTATAGAAACTTAAAAACATATTTTTCAGTTACTGCCAAATTACCTGATACATACAAACAGCAGTAACATTCGATATGGCAAAAAATATTCTCCTACTATATACAGTATTGAAAAGATAGTAAGAAATTAAACACTTCAAAATATCATCAAATTGGTTGAATATAAGCTGCATCTTTACACTATACACTGGCTGGCAACATTTATCAATAAATACTACACGCGTATCCTTTCGGCTGACAGCATTTATTTACAAATAATACACCTGTACCCCTTCATATTACATTCTGGTTGGCAAACAACTTTATACTATACCTATTGAGCCTGCCTTTCATGTGATATTTGGTGAAAATTCGCCGAATTGAGTTTTAAAATACACTGTTGTAGTGTTTTACAAGAACGCATACACACGGCATTTGTGCAGTTTTGTGTGATCAGAACTAACTAAAAAATGCAGAGTACATTTATTATCCTACTACGAGATGGCATTAGGATCGCAATAATACGTCAAATGCTTTTATGCAACGGAAGCATACGTAACACGAAACGTGCCGACTTTCCGAAGTTCAATTTAGCATCATGTAAATACACACACACACTTGGGAGTATTTTTATTCCAATCCTACATTTATATTACACATTCAAGAGCAGGTATACTGAATGCTAGAGTTTACTTCATAATTATTATCAAAACTGACTTACGATAAAACAAACACATCAACGTGGTTTTTCAGTAATATCTACTACAAAGAGTCTAATCTCGTGTCACAGGGGAAGTCATTGTTAACAGCATACAATAACATATTGAGAACATTCCTTTATAAAATAGACTTTCCCATTAATCGTATACCAATACTAGCTGGTATTTTGAAATTTATATATATATGTATGTATATAAAGATATATACGACGCACAAAAACTTATAAAATAGTTGAAATTAATAATATTTTAAGTAGGACAAGACAAAACGACTATTATAAAATAATACAAGTCACCCTTTTCATTTCATTTTATGAAAATACCAGTATCTGAAAGTGGATAACACCTAGATACAGATATTTAACATAAATACTATATATATAGGTTTGAGTTTCACAGACTTGTTAACCCTGTATGCCATAATCTTATCATTACATATCTTAAATTAAGTTAAAAAGACAAATATATTCATCTAGCCTATCCAAGTAATACCAAGTATGATTTTTTTCCCTTTGATATCGATACATTAAAACTCCAAGCCTTGTATTTGTATAAACGTTCCTCATTTAACACCATGAACAATTAACCGAAATCATAAAGTGGTGAGAAAATGTAAACACCCAAAAAGACAGGTTTCAGTGAAGGAACTTAGTTTAGGGTGTAATAAAACTTCCATTTTTTTTATTTTTTTTGGTAGGATTCGCGTGCTGCAGTCCCACAGTGACGATGGTCGAGCGATTAGAAGAAAGAGGACCCCTCCCTGATTTTCCAATGTCTCTGGCTTCTCTATCATGCAGATTGCGCGTGCACATAAATTATCACAAACAAACTCATGTACGTTCTTCTACTTGCATGTGATGTGACCGGTTCCGACTGTCATTTGTTACCATGACGACGTCTGTCAAGGAGGTAGAACTATAGGAGAAGAGTTAATGATGTTGCGACTTAAGCTCGAGGAAACTTCAGCCAATAGTATGGATGTATCATCACCGTAAGGAGCTCGCATGGATGCATTCAGAACAGATGACAATGTCCAATATTGGCAGGAACTGGAAGGTAACCATTACCGTGTAACTGCCAATACTTTTTCAGGGCTAAGTCACTCAAACAATGTGCTGACGGGGGTTTGACGTGTCCTGTTTCCGGGCGGAAAGATTCCAGTGTTCTTCTTATTACAACGTTTTCACGTAAATGGTTAAAAAAGACGCAAAAATAAAACGTAACATTTTTAACAAACGGGGACCGTCAGTTTGTGATAAATATCTTTAAACGTTAAGAAGCGTGTACTTTTGACATATTATAATAAAATAAAATATTCATTTCAACTTAAATCGTATAAGCAAGCTTCAATATGTAATTAATATATATATTTTCAAGATCCATGTAACTGAACAAAAGTTATTTTACACAAGAACATGAAATAACAAAGTTTTTTAACATGATTGCTGCTATTTTGATGACTGAAGAACCGTTCTAACCACTTGCAAATAGTACTATTTTCAAGAAATATCTAGTCTTAAGCGAAATTCGGGTCCAGAATTACTTTTGTATTGGAAGTAGATGCAAATCTTCACTTTTATGAATGATACGTTATGTATAGTTTCTCTTCCGTAAGGCTTCACAATTCTTTCCATAATCGCCAATATATTGCTTTGTAAGTTTAAGCAGTATCCAATTAAAAAAAAAAGTTGCAAGAATAAAAATAAATCATTGCTGGGCTTCGTAGTACTTTATTAAGTGCAAGTAATACGAAGCCCAGCAATGATAATCATTAGGCCACGGCAGGCCATATTAATTTAAAAGTAATTACAAAACAATAATAATAAACAATAGAATGCCACAAAGGTTAATTAGTCATGTAATGAGACTAATCATCGTGAAATATCTACTAAACAAAAGATGGAAAGGTTAACTGGAATATTCACAAATAGAATTTGGTAATTTATCAGAGCGTTAGGGCATTTCATTATCCCACAAGACTCGAAAACGATCTCAACATCGTTAAGAGGCGCTAATTTAAACTTCAAGTAAAGGTAAATTTCTGTCGGGAAAAGTATTTGCATCCATTCAAGTCCTTGTTTCTACTTGCTGATCTAGAAGTTAGCCTCTTCCATATTTATTGATAAACAAAAACAGACTTTAGGTTACCAGTAATACATAGTTACCCTAGCTAACATGCGTGTTTATATGGAACAAAATGTGTGTAGTTTATGCATTAAAAGTAATTATAATAAATACACATTAACGGGTTCATTTCACGAAGGATTTGCATGGTTCCGTATTAGAACGTATTAAAGTCACACCAGCGTATACAGTTTGAATTAACTCATTCTAAATGTGCATCTAATTTATCTATGTATATTTGTTATTTGTAGTGATAACATCGCCTTATTAGCAGACGTTTGTTATCTGTAATGATAGCATCACTTTATTAGCAGAAATTTGTCATCTGTAATGATGACATAGCCTTATTAGCAGATATTTGTCATCTGTAATAACAGCATCGCCTCATTGGCAGACATGTTATCTGTAATGATGACATAGCCTTATCAGTAGATATTTGTCATCTGTAATAATAGCATCACCTTATTAGTAGACATTTGTCATCTGTAATAATAGCATCACCTTATTAGTAGACATTTGTCATCTGTAATAATAGCATCGCCTTATTTAAGGCGATGCTATCATCACAGATAACAAATATTTAGCAGGTATTTGTTATCTGTATGCGTAACAGAACAACTGGAGTTCAATGTATTAGAAACAGGTTCTGGATTTCTCGCCATTACGAATAGTGTCTAATGACGACTTTTAAAATCTTAAACGGAGCATGTTTGTGACTTACGAAAAACTCGGTTATTCTATATCAACTTACGAGGTTACTTACGATCATCTTAGGGTTCACTGGTCTAAAGAATGTAACTGTACAACTAATTCATGCACAAATATTTTATATAACAGGTTTTCAGTATTGCACTATTCTACATTTGCCTTACTTGTGACAATTTACTTGAATAATTGCAATGCTGAGCGGTTTTTGTTTTTTTATTTCTTCGATAAACTGTTCAAAAACTAGTATTCTGGACTGATCATATATTTCGCAACAAGAAAACGGCAATGACATTTCATTCTAAAAGACACCGATGAAAACAATTTTAATCCGTGTTTCGGACAAATGACCCCTCAGACTAATGGACAGTTCCTGACTTCTGTAAGCGTGAACTAAAATAAAGGTAAATCAGTCTATTTCACTTTTTTTTTATCCGTCTAGGCTTTACCAACTTTGACCTGTGACATATATAATGAATATCATATATTATATTACAAAGTATACCTCTCCACCGCCATCTAATTGCAATGAAATTTTACACGTGCTACTCCAGCAATATTCATAAGGAACACCACTGAACTTTCAATAATTTTTAGTATATTTCACGCCATTTAGATGCCAATTACCTTTCCTTATAGCAGAACATTATCCCCGTGCACATAGGCCATTATCCCCTAGTTAAAATGTTTATAAC